GTTCCTCGTCGACCAGCTTGAACGGCGTGGTTTTCACGTGGTCGCGCGAGCATATCGATTCCCGGACGAGGCGGCAGATCGGATTCTGCGCCCTTTTCCCTTTTCCCTCCCTCTCGCCCTTCCGCTCGCCCCCTTCGTCGCGCGTCGTCTTTCCACCTTCCTCGCCTCGTAGACGGGATATTTACGGCGAATTATATGGCGCTTTTTGGACGGACGATCGCGGCGGCGTTTTGATTAGGGTGTGCTTCAGGCGAATGCGGATAACTCGCGGTAACGCGGATTGATATAGCGTGAAAAGTACGGGCGATCGATCGGGCGTTTCTCGCCTCATCTCGCGGAACGTCATGGACCTATATCCCACCTGCGCGAATGTAACTTCGGGGCCGCGTAACTCGTTATGTAACTCCATTCGGCTTGGTTAATTAATAAAGATAAGCGGGTTAACGCGGATTTTTCGACCGATCGACCGGATTATCCGGCAGAGAAATTATCTTTAATAAACTCGCTGATCGCGCGAATCATGACTTGGGATCTCGTTTCGTGATTTCACGCGTCATGTAAAATAGCTAATAAATATTACAGTGTTTTGATAATTAAAAATTGTACGAAACATTATTGTTGTGCACAATTAGGATGCGTTGTTGGCAATAAGAGGGAAATAATAAGTACAAATATTCAGGAATGATAATATAATTTAATAATCGCGACATAGAACAACGCGTTGTGCTTAAAAATTATTTAATTTATTTTAATTAAATGTTTCTGTCATCATATCGGACGCTTTCGCATAGAATTTTAATGAGCCCCCCTCACAATTTTGTATAACGACTGATTATGTTAATTTCTTTTGCAGGTTTACTATGCGAAAAAGAAAAGGAGAGCACAACAGATGCAAGGGGAAGATGGCTCGCATAAAAAGGAGAGGAAACTCTACAACGACGGCTGGGATGACGATAATCACGATTATATCATCAAGAATGGGGAAAAGTTCCTCGATCGATATGAGATCGATTCGTTAATAGGTAAGACAGGTTCGGCAACAAGTTCAGCGAAACGACGTCGGAATAATTGTTACGCCGAATAAACATGACGTCGCAATATTTTCTAATTATGTAATTGATATTTTTTTTCACTTTTCTAATATCTCGTCTTTCCGCAATTATCGTTTTGAACGATCGTATCGTTTGGCAAGGATATTCCATGTGTCGCGTTTATTATTGCCGACTATTTAATTCACAACCGCTCATTCGACTCGGCGCACTTATACGTGTTCTTCGTTCGCAGGTAAAGGCAGTTTTGGCCAAGTAGTAAAAGCATTCGACCACGAAGAGCAGACGCAAGTGGCAATAAAAATCATCAAGAACAAGAAGCCTTTTCTAAATCAAGCGCAAATTGAAGTTAGGCTATTGGAAATGATGAACAGAGCGGATACCGACAACAAGTATTATATAGGTACGTGTTGTTGCTGCTGTATTACAGATAAGAGACACGACGTTACTCCGGTTACGTAATAATACATATCGCTATTAATACTTCTTTCCCCTCCTTGATTACAGTTAAACTGAAGAGGCATTTTATGTGGCGGAATCACTTATGTCTGGTATTCGAGCTGCTATCGTATAATCTATATGACCTACTTAGAAATACGAATTTCCGAGGAGTGTCATTGAACTTGACAAGAAAGTTTGCACAGCAACTGTGTACTGCCCTCTTGTTCCTGTCTACGCCGGAATTGAACATCATTCACTGTGATCTGAAACCCGAAAACATCCTTTTGTGCAATCCAAAACGAAGTGCGATAAAAATAGTCGACTTCGGTAGTTCGTGTCAACTTGGACAAAGAGTGGGTATCTTAGAACGTGTCGATTAGCTCGCGCACGTTCTCTCGGTCCCTTTTCATTCACCATCTCTTTTTCTCTTGCGTTCGCAGATATATCAGTATATTCAGTCCAGGTTCTATAGATCTCCGGAAGTCTTATTAGGAATACCTTATGACCTCGCGATAGACATGTGGAGTCTTGGATGTATTTTAGTAGAAATGCACACGGGAGAACCGCTGTTTAGTGGGGCCAACGAGGTAAAAGCTCAATCGCAACACAAGTCTCCTTTAATTCGTGTCGAATCTGCAGCTCTCGATAATTGACTGATAGTACGAGAAGCTACCAGTATTTTTTTTTTACACACACGGCCGTGTTGAGACACACATTTGCAACGGCGAATAATCGAAAGTGCATGTTCCGATTGCAATGTAAATCATCTCTGTCTGGCAATATTACGAATTTTACGCTTTGCAGGTCGATCAAATGAACAAAATCGTAGAAGTGCTAGGAATGCCGCCGAAACATATACTGGACCAAGCGCACAAGGCGCGGAAGTACTTTGACAAAGTCCCCACCGACGGCTCGTACGTGCTGAAAAAATCCAAGGACGGTAAAAAATACAAACCGCCCGGCACGAGGCGCTTGCACGATATTCTAGGTGTCGAGAGCGGCGGTCCAGGCGGCAGGAGGATAGGGGAACCCGGTCACTCGATGTCCGATTACCTCAAGTTCAAGGACCTAATCGTACGGATGTTGGACTTTGATCCGAAGACACGGGTAACACCGTATTACGCGCTTCAGCACAACTTCTTTAAGAGGACAGCCGACGAGGGGACCAACACGAATGTCGCTGCTGCCAATAGCGCGAGCACAAGTCCGGCGGTGGTGATGAGCCAGGATCACGGTAAGTCGTCGACCGTTTGGCGCCACTTCCCTTCCCCCCCCCCCCTTTTTTTTTCGCCGAATCACTGTGTAACATAGAGAGAGAAAGAGAGAGAGAGAAAGAGAGAAGTACCGATTACGCATTTATGTGCTTCACATCTGAGTTTCTTGGAAACTGGCAGGTTTTCAACGTTATCTTATCCAATTTCCACTCTGTGTATTTCCTATCTCGCGATATCTCGGTTCAAGTAACATAGCCCTACTAGCGTTGAGAAGTTGAAAACGTGTCAGGCTTGCATTATGTCATTAACTGTACCTTAAACGATCAATTTGCGATCAGCGAGAGACATGATCTTACTATCAAAGTATGGCTCTATGTCGCTTGATTTCATTCATCATTCATTATTAATATCATACTCGATTATACTTCACCTAACGATATACATTTCATTCATAGTTCCTCCGAGTCGATCTTTTTTTTTTTCAGCAAATGGATGCTGGCTATAGAGAAATAAAAGTTCACAATTTTTACTGCCCACTATATATATATATAGATAGTCTTGTATAAATGTAATAATGAGAAAGGCAGATTAACATTTAATTGCAAATCATGTTCTATATTTAGGCTGCAATAGAAATCTCTAGACAGTTGCTAACAGGAAATTTCATCGTTTCTCGTGAATGACTTGAAAGAGATACAAAAACGACTATGGCTTTAACTATGGTTAATAAGATTACCGTTCTTCGAGTAATAGAGCATAAGGTAGATATAAACAGAAATTCACGGAGAGTTCTATTGTATTGAGAGTTTAGGAAGGTTTTGATTTGTGCAGAAAATAAGAAATTCTTCACCTTTGCGTTTTCTAGAATCTTTTCCGAGCGAGGAATTTTCGACCGTGTCACGCTCCTGTTTTTTGTTTTTTTTTGTTTTTTTTTTCCTTCTTTGTTTCAAAAGCCAGATTACAATTGGATAATTGATTCAGCGTAGCGCCAAGCGAGGATATTTGCACTTTGCGTTGTCCCGTTTTCGCGTACAATCGCGATCCCCTTTCTCAATGGCATCTTTTATTTTCTGCGCAAACTAAACGATACTTGTTGTTGTTGCCCGTAGATATGATGGGGGGACAATACGTGGCTCGATGACTGTCGTATCCGCGGGGCGGCGACGACCTGTCCTAGGCCCCAACCCTAATCTTACTTACTAACATAAGTAAGTTCTGTCTAACAAACAATCCTACACGCTAAAAAAAAAAAAAGAAAAACTAACGATGTCCCTGATAATCATATCCTGGCCTCGGATGTATTGCGCGAAGCCTTGCTTGCTTGAAGAATAATACTTCCCTCCGGGACACGGATTGACATTACTGGCCCGTGCCTCCGAAAAAAAAAACTTTATTAACACGATGTATTAATACGATTTATATGATGTCTAAAACTAAAGAGGCCAATTTATTCATATTTCACGAGGCTGTCCTTTTTTGATGATTATATCTTAGAAAATAAGGACAACAAGACAAATAGCGTCATATCACTGCTGGAATATGTTTCTCTTTTTGTATCCATTTCTCGGCTTTTCGCCACGGTTTGAAAGTGAACTAATTGCCGCACACAAATGTTGCGTCAAAGTTTTGAATTTATTACATACGCAGAACATATTCCAACTGAGAGTATTGCATCTGTGTTAAACGAATTTCTGTTTTGTAGAAAAGTCACATCATTGTCTTCTAGTTTTTTTATGCATGCTTTAGCTGCTTGCATTATGCACTTGACAAGTGCGGTGCTGTAAATGGGACATGAAATTGTAACCGTTTCTGTGAAATAAGTCTTGTCCATCAGTAATATATATATATATATATACATGCATTTATTATCATATATATAATCCCTCTTCTTGAGTTTGCCTAATGTACACCCCAAATGCACATTAACTTATGTATACAATTAAAAACAAATTACGATGCATTGATTACGCAATTATTACGATAAACAAATTGCAATCTCATATCTCGTTAAATATAGTTGTAACATACGTATATGTCGTGGTGCAATTGCTCTGATAATTCTGTATCCGAATCGTATACTGTAAACATATATTTTTCAGCAGATAAAATGCACAAAAATATTGTAGGAATTAAGATGAACAAATTCGTAATTAATCGCGGCCTGTAAAATATACATATCCAATTAACTGTTGTCAGCTTGAAAATGGGATGGAACATTTACGACTTAATATTCACGCCTGATATTTAACCAAGTATTATGTCATCTTCTCGCTATTAGGAACGTGAAGGAGAGGTGGTAGCGGTGGAGAGATTATTGCCTGCAAATGTCCCTGTAGACGTTTGACATTTTGTTTATATTTATTCCCATTAGTGATTATTCGATTGTAAGAGCTAGAACGGTTTTCGTGGATGATTATGGCATTAGTGTGTATATATATATACATCTATATCTCGCGATGAGATTACGCCCAGTCCCGCGCTAGGCTGACTTCCTTTCTTTTCAATGTCCCAGGACTGGTAACCATGTCGGGACAGGGCAGCAGCAGCAGCAGCGGCGGCGGCGGTGGCAGCGGCGGCGGCGGCGGCGGCAGCAGTCTGCAACAGATGCAAGCGTCGAGCCTCCCTGGTGGCGGCTACCAGCCTATGGACTGCGAGTCCTCGCCCCGTCACACGGGCAGTCGGCGTGCCATAACAACGGGCTACCCATCGACGTCGGCCACTGGGGTGCCCGCGTCCGCCCCGATGTCCATGCAGTCCATGGACAGCTCCCTGATACAGAACTCTCTCGGATCGTACAATAGCCTAATTCTTCCTGGTTTACCTCTGCCTGCGATGATGACCTCGCCCATGATTCAGCAGCAGAATTTTTACAACTACAGCTATTCGACCAGCGATACGCACGGAATGGTCAGACAGCCATCAACGGTATCGACCGGTAACCAGCGAGATCCGGAGAGAGAGGATAGCCCGATGGTCGGGGTGTGCGTCCAACAGAGCCCGGTTGCTATCCACTGAAGGTGATAGAGATGGGCAATCGACGGTGGACAATACAGCTTGTCGCGAACGCAGGACCGTGGAGAAGAGATTAGTTGGATGGAGTTTGTGACACAATGTTATCACGGCGTCGACGGATAAGGGAAAACAGTAAAGGTAGGAAACATCTTGAAAGTCGTTCCTCGACGCTGCTTTCTTTAGCACAGAGCCAAAAAAAAAATTTAAAAAAAAAAATAAGAAGAAACAAACACACACACGGTGTCGCGATTAGCGTTAACTGCGCCAGTGAATTCAAGAAATCTTTCGGACATGATGTCGGTTCGGCTAAACAACTCTGAAAAATACAAACGAAATTTCCCGGAGAATCCAGAAAAATAACCAAGCAAGTCACAAGGCTCAAATCTCTCTGTGTGAAGAGATGACAGAAGCGGAGAAGAAGAACTGCAAAGCTCGGCAGCGTTAACGACTGTGTGAACGATCCAACGAGTAGAAGAAGAACCCACGTGGAGGGGAAGAGAGGATGGTGTGAGGGAAACCTCCATTTCTGTTACGTTGCTGTATTTTCGTATTTTTTACCAAGCTGACTGGCCCCTATGTTGGGTGTGGATATATATATATACATATGGATATATATATACATATATATACATATATATATATATATATATGTAACAAGATTAGAAAAGCTACGAGCACGAAAAGACAGTAATGGTCTAGTGAGGATGAACCCAGCTGGCCTCTCGGGTCCTGCCCGATTTCCACAGACAGTCTGAGCAGTTTAGCGGAAACAGCTGAGCGGAAAATTTTCGGCAACCAAACTGTGTGGCCTAGAGAGCGAAAAAGTGATAATTACTATTATTACCGCGTAATAAAAAAAATGAGGGAAAAAAAGTAAGGATTACCAATGTAAGCATGTACTCCAATAGAGTTTTATACACGATGTCACGAATGTAAACGGTTTAGCAAGTATTTGCGAGCAAACAGTCGCGTCGACTGCTAGTTATTTGTACAATACACTTAGGTGAATGATAAGAGTGCAGCTTTAGGGTTTAGCTTTTAAGTGTGAGGAGGTGAAAACACACACAACACACAGACATTGTAAACTCGACCCTTTTATTTACTTTTAATGGAAAAAAAAAAACAAGGATGTTGCAAACGTCAGTTTGTTGCTGAACAAGGACTTTAAACAAACGAGGTTTGCGCGGCTTAACAACAATACATATTTATACATAAAGAAGAAGCAGTAATAAGAAAGTTAAAAAGCAGCATACACGTAAGATCGATCAAGGATGGTATAATCATACGAAGAAATCTAGATACTTTATAATAAACAATACGCGCGTACTTGCATACACACGTTTCCAACGCCAATCGTCATTGATTTTTGCCGTTTTGCTCCGATGGTCGCTGCGCTTATGCCATTCGCACCAATCGTAATATAGGCCCCGTTATTTGTACAGAAGACTCCGTTTTTATCCGGCCAAATGTTTTTTAACCTCGGTTAAAATGCGATTCCCTTCGATTATTTATGTTATGATGATATGTATTGTAGGACTAGATGACGAACAAACGTAGAAATTGATAATTTCTTTCTTATTATCAACAAGCCACGTTTTTGTCGTGAAACTACCAATTATAAGTGTAGTATTAGTACCTGAAGGCAGACCATTAAAATGCAACCATAATAAAATCCCCACACCACCCAGATGTTACAAAGGAAAAGAAGAAAAAATTTAAAAAGTATGACTTTTAATAGAGACTTAATAATAAAGAGAGAGAGAGTACGCTGTAAAGAAAGAAATTTTAAAGAATTATGCATGTTGCTTTTTTCCGTAATCACGATAGCAAAATGCAAATGGAAGTACCAAGTCTGTTCACGGGGTATATTTTATACATTTGCGGCTTTTATATATACTTCCATAAAATCACAAAAGAGAATGCTCCGCGGAGACCTAAGATTTAGATAATGATTTATCCTTTTGCATCGTTTGTATTATATTATATGAAGAGATGAACGTAATATCATTTTATTGACGGATCGCAACGATTTGCTATAGCTATTTTAAGACAATCTGTATCTCTAATTTTAATAGTTGCTTTTTAAGGTCTCCTAAAAAATTTAAAACAAAAGAAGAAACGAAGCTGCATGTATAATTCTCAATGTAATCGTCATCTTTAACGTTTTAATTGCGATATCTTTTTTGTACAAAAAATTTTAACGCGTATATAGCGGCGGTAAAGCAACGTATTTCGTCTACATTGACTGCGACTGTTGTCAAAAGAGCTTGGCCAAAAAAAAAAAAAGGTATTAGACGACCAAGAGGATTCTTGATGTATTTTCTGGAAAAGTAATGAGAGTCTCACTGTGAAATTTAGATTTGAATTCTTGTTGTATTAGTTGTAAATATATGAGAAATATAAGATACTTTCGAGTAGCTGAGAAAAGTCTAACGTTTCACAAGCCATTCGATCTGCTAAGAATCATTTTATTCGTGCGGCCTTTCGAATGATTTGTATATTTTTATACACCTGCAATACAGGAACATTTGCAGATACGTTTAACAAGATACACACACGAGACATTCTATATTGCAACTCAGATGTTGAGGTTTGTTATACTCGAATTTATACTAAGAGAGAGAGCGAGAGAAAGAGTTACCGAGCGAAAACAAATTTTCTAACAGTATCTAATAATGTAAATCTCCAACGGACAAATAGGAATACGACGCCCACAGACACTTGTACTATAAATGTTTTTATATCGCATTGAGATTTACGGCAATCGGTGCTTAAGATACGTTAAATTCAGGAGTCGTAATGAGTCTGTGTTGTGATTAGATAGCTCGAAAGCAATGCTTAAAATAGATAGATTCACTATGACATAAATAAAATACCTAAAGAGGAAGAAGACGAAGACGAAGAAGAGAGTAACTCTCCGAAAAATCACATCCAAAATGTAAAACGGGATATGTCGCATCTTACCTCAATGACCTTTTTGATAATTTCGGCAGTTAAAAGTTGTACAGGATATGATTTGTTAGATGTAGAGAGATTAAAAAAATCGGCGGGACGCTCAGGATTTTCTGTGATAAGTTCTGGGCGTCCACGCGGGAATTACCTTGTTGAACGGCAAAAATCAGTACGCTCTATAAGTATATAGACAATGTGTGATATCACACGAGCCCTCTTCCGAATGTTCATGTTGTTACACGCTGTGCTCACCGGTCCCGCAATACGGTGTTCATAACATTATCACAACGGAGAACTGTCGTTTTCAGAAACTACACACAGAACTATTTTTTATCATCTGAGAACTCGAATCATTCGCGCTGACTTCGCTTCGCGACAACATGCACATGACAGAATATACCACTTGTAAAATAGTCTTTCCATCGGATAGTTCGTACTACAAAGGCGTAATGTCATTGGATAGCACTCGACGTTTTCAACCGGGTCCTTCGTACGGGAGATGCCGGTGAAAAGGTATGCACAATCCGACCCACAATGGACTTCTGAGCACAGCGTCGCGTTTGGTAATGCATCGAAGCGCATTGTTCTTCTTTTCACGATTGTTGATTTTAACTGGATAATTATTATCGTTTATCTGTAGCGAAGATGATTGATTGGTTATAACGATGTAACTTTTAGCGAAACTAAACGACCGCGCCAGCCCCGGAAACTGGGCTCTCTCAGTGTCCAGGCGAATAAATTTAGAGGACAATTTTTTTCACAGGGCGCGAAGAGGCCGCGGTGGGGAAAGAATAAAGAAAAACAAACAAACAAACAAACAAACGATTCCTGTATCGGAGAAATAGCATTTTTCGAAAGCGGCAATATGTAAGATCCATAAGTAAGATCGAACATGCGAAGCGAAGCTAAACGAGCGTGCCGAACATAGCTATGCGATTAGAGACTTTTATTTACGCGAGGACGCGGTGAAATGCGCTTTGAACGTACATTCAGTAGCCTCCCTTCAGTAGCCGATGGAAAAGAAGAGAAGCGCCCGACGAGTGGGACGAAAACTCCCTTTTAGGATTCCTTTCGCTTTCCGATATGCGCGTCTTTATTTTAAGTTCGAGAATTCACCACCTTGGAATGAATTTGTCCACACAACAGCTGTCGCAAAATGCAAAGTATTTAAGCCAATTAGCAGACAACAGAGATGTATACATTTAATAGCATAAGAACCAGCCGTGATTCATGTTCCAAATGATTTTTTCGCTGCATTTCGTGTATACATATAACGCATATATATTTTTTTACGTGAACCGTCGAGGTTTGATTTACAGAACGATCACTGGAGAAAAGGGTGATGAAGCAAAATTGTATTTTAATTATGTATCTTAGCCGACACACACACGTATGCGATCACTTTTGTGCATACCATTGACCGTTTGCACGTTTTTTAAAATGTTTGTAACGCGAAGCAACCGACGAAATTTCTTAACCGTTTACTGCCCAATGTAACTTCGACGTTACATAGTCCTTTTACTATTTGATTTCCTTTTTACGTTCTACCTTTGTCGGATATTGTAAAGTTGTAATATAGAAAATCTAATTTTTCTCTATATTATATACTTCACGGAAAAAGTATAGATTTATAATTTGTTTTATTAATTTGTCTACATATATATATATATTTTTTTTAAACAAACAAATGATTTGGGCAATAAAGGATTATTTCTCAAAATACACATTTATATTATTTTAATTTATAGCACACACACACACACATACGCATTCGTTAATTACTGTGAATCGGTGCTTATTACAGCCATGACAAATAACGTTTTTCTTCCGTGTGCATGCATTTTCGACGATTTATGTTTCGGCGTGGAATATCTTTCAGCTTACGTGGCGCGTACCGCACGAGCGGCCTTTGAGAAAGTCCGCCCGTAAGGCCGCGCGCTCACCCTTAATTTCTTGGATCTTTGGAACATGGTACTGCGGCGGAAGTAAAGTAAACCTAAGTTTCCTAACGTCATGTGTAAAAGCATTGTGTTCAGAAACAAATATAACTATAATACGACTGATGCGCCTGAGAGGCGATGTGCGAGCGTCCTTTGAGAATTAAGCATATGAGGGTGATGTCTTGATGTCTCGTTCGGCGATGGCACGCACCAATCGGGACAAAAAAATATAAGGGATAAATGTAGCGAGCGAGAATGAGAAAAAGGGGGAGTGTGCGCGAGTGCGTTTGTGTGTGTGTGTGCGTGTGTGTGTGTGTGCGTGAGTATGTGAGTGAGTGAGTGAGTGAGTGTATGTGTGTGTATGCGTATGTGTGCGTAAGCGAGAGAAAGAGGAAAAAATGTGAATTAAGAAACAAAAAACCGATTTATTAAGATGAAAAAAAAATAATTAACAAAACTCCATACCGGATGAAAGAAAACTTGTATCTAACGTGTATACATTGTCATAACATTATTATGATGATTATTATAATTATTATTATATATAATAATGTAATTGAAAATTTGAAACGATATTACATAAGGTTAATAATAAACAAAAGCATCTTCACCTTTTGCTGTTACCTTTTCTTCTGCTGATATTTCATGCCGCACCCGATCCACCCTTGTACGAAAACCCGCGTGAAAAATAAAGCATTTGTAATATACGTATACGTGTGTGTTTTGAAATATTTTTGACATCTTAATTCGATCAATAAATCGAGGCAGAACTGCACGAAACTGTACATGTGAGGAAAATACTGTAAAATCTCTGAAAAATGTCAAACCTGAATTCAAACCGGTTTTGGTAAAATGAATTTCTCATGCTAAAAGAAAATAGATCTTTACGCTTCTAATTAAAAATAATATTTGCATGCTTTTTGCATTGATTGCATTATAGAATTTCAATTTCTGACGTCAAATTTTAGTGCCGACTGAACTTATAAAATTTTTAATACCAATAGTATTGATGGATTATTCTAATGATCGCGGCGTTCACCTAACCGCAACGTGTGTGTAATAATTTTCGTTTCGAGAGAGGTCGCTAGTGTAGCTGTCCGCAAAGCAACATGTCCACCTCGCGGGAGAAGAAAGCGTGTCAATTACTAGTGGTTCAATTTTTTAGCCCCTTTGACCGGACGAATGGCACCCACGTCTAGTTAATTGCGGGAAATCGATCATTGGCGGAAAATGAGTTTTTCCGTAAAGAAAACTGGTGGCAGGATGTGGCACGAGGCACGCAAGCAGGAGAAGAAAATTCGCGGGATGCTGGTTGACTATCGTCGTAGAGCGGAACGTAGACGGGACTATTATGAGAAAATCGTAAGAATGCGAAAATGCGCGAGCAAAACGCGTCTAACAAGTTTCGTTTCTTAACTCAGAGAATATATAATATTTAGAAATATATTATATTACTTTGACAGATTGTATACGAAAAATAACTCTCCAAATATGGGTTAACCTTTAAATAGTATTTCAGTTTTTTGTGTCAAAAAGTTTGTATAATTTTCATGTTATAAGCACTTAAATATTAAAAAAAAGGGATAACTTTTGTCACTGAATTTTTTCATTAAATATGCCGTTCTGCCTTGGCTCTTTCCTTTCTTACTTGAAGTATAATTACAATGAACAAAAGGAATGTTATTTATATTTATGTCCTAATTGAACTTTGTGTGTTTTATTTAGAAATCAGATCCTACACAGTTTCTTCAATTACATGGTAGACCGTGCAAAATACACTTGGATCCGGCAATTGCTGCAGCAGGTGACAGTCCCGCAAACATGTGAATATCATAGCGATTATTCTGATATTAAGTTGCATTTGTCGATCTGATATCTAATTTAAAAAGTATATTTTATCGACAGGATGCCATGGCAGGGGAATGAGGACAATCTTATAGATCGCTTTGACGTACGAGCGCATCTCGATTGGATACCAGAAGCATCTGATACTATTGACGTTGATATTGCTTTGACAAGCGAAGATAGACATATCAACTATGAACGCTACCGCATAATTGTACAAAATGAATTTCTAGGTGGTGCGTTGCCGTTTGTCATATTATATAGAAATAGGAATTCCAGATAGATTTTCTCACCTTATTCAAATACTTCTTATTCAGTGACTGAAGAAAAATTTCTTCATCAAATACATTTGGAAGAGCAATTTGGTTCTACAAAATTAGATTCTGCAAAAGATAAGAAAAAATCTGCTAATAACGCTGCCATCGGATATAATTACGAAACCGAAGAGCCAATACCTGAGCCAGTTAAGCCAGTAGATCCAGTTGTGACTGAAGAAAAGGGAGACGATGAAGATAGCGATATAGATTTAGGTATCATTTTTATATAATATCTAACACAGTTTGAATTGATTGAAGAAAGAAAGGAATAATTTTCTAATATGACATATTACTTTTTTTTTAGATATATGTGTGGATGTGTCGCAAATAGAACCATCTCAGGCACACGAAATGAATCTGACAGCTCAAAAATATGGACTTTTAGGTGCTGACTACTTTAGCTTTTTGACACAAGATTTCGAAGAAGCTGAAACTTTGCGACAAGCTCGGAAGCAAGAGGAGGAGAAAGCTATGTACTCGGTAAATAGTTATATTTATTCAAATAATTATATAATGTATTGCATAATGATGTAACCAATATCTAAAATTATTCTTCAACGTAGAAATATGATATATTTTATATTTTAATTAGGGTCGACGATCGCGCAGAGAGCGACGTGCGTTCAGGGAAAAGAAAATGATTGGTCGCATTATGAGTCCGCCTAGGTAATAATTCGTTGTAAAAGTAGATTCTTGTCTATTGTCGCTTTGCTTATTGTAAATTTTTTTCAGTTATGCGGCCAGAGAAAGCCCAGAATATAATCCATATAGAAAGTCCTCTTCTAAATCAAGATCGCGGTCCGCATCGCCTGTAAATACTGGACAGATTACTTACATCACAAGCTTCGGCGGGGAAGAAGAAACTCACAGTAGCACATCACACGTATCTTCGTCGAATTCAAGGAAAGTCAATTATTCGTACCTTAGACGACGAAGATCGGACAGTCCTACTTTCAATGAAAGAACCGTCAATAAGAAAATGTCGAAATCTAGATCGAGAAGTTGTTCACGTTCTGTTAGCAGGACTAAATCTTATAGAACACGCGATAGGAAGCGAAGTGGATCTAGAATAAGGTTAGTTATACAAAAAAAAAAAACAAAGTTTATGATAAAATTATATGTTTAAAAATTGGCAATATTTGATTTTTCATTCGTCTTGATTTTAGATCTAGAAGAACACGCTCGAGACCTCGAAAGTACACAAGATCCCGAACAAGAAGCCGATCCAGACGTTCACGAACGCGAAGTAAATCACGATCGCGTTGTAGAAGTGTCAGTAGATCGCGATCGCGTTCAGTTTCTCGGTCTAGAACCAGATCCAGGTCTCGTTCGCGTTTAAAAAGATCAAGAAGTTCATCTTCGAGCAGTGTATCGAAATCAAGATCGAGATCCAAATCGCGTAATAGAAGCCACTCGAGAGACAGTTATCGGAAACGACGCTATTCACCGTCCAAGTCAAAGTCAAAGTCTCGCTCGAGGTCGAAGTCTCCGACAAAATCTAGGTCAAGATCGAGAAGTCAATCTAGCTGTAAGCGATCGCGAAGCGACGAAAATAAGACGCCAGCACTGCCAAGGTAAAGATTTCGCGGATTGTTTTTTTCTTCAAGCGTTAAAATTACAAATTTGTCGCTCGCAGGTATTACGGACGACGTGGAAAATCGTCGAGTCTTGAATTAGAATTGTCCGATAATGAAGAAAAATCCAGTGCAACTACAGCGAGGACATCAATTAACACAAGCACGTAAGCACGATTATAAATAATGAACGATTATCTAAAATTATTACACGCGAACTTCATCTTTCCCGAATATTTCAGGAACAAGCCAAAAGCAGGGTTAAGTACAAATTCTGGTGGCGGACACAAAGTCAGTAAGAACCATAACGCTTTCTTAGTCACTTAACGCACAGAGAAATAAAGACAGAACATACTTGTCTCTATATAAGTACCATCCGAATGAGGAGCCTCAATGAGAAGCGCTTCTCGTTTTCGTTGTTGTACTACACGTTACTAGCGTGTCGATGTTCGTTCATTTAAATGTTTTATTTTTAATATATTTTTGAGTATTTTTTTTAATGCGTTGCTACAACCACAAAGAAATTGAAATTTCCACGCGTTTATTTCACTATGTTTGTCTCGAAATAATAATCTCTTGATGAACCTAAACCTATGTAATTAATTGCCGCGCCGCTATTATTTTTTTTATTTGTTCGCATCTTGCATTTTTATCATTTCGTACAGGAAATGACAAATTTTTTGTGGTATATATTCATTTATATGTTCTGGTAAAAAATATCACCAGTGCATACGTACGTGTTGATGTCGATTGTGAATTAAATCTTTAAAATATGCTAAGAATATCAATATTGGCTACAGACCTTTAAGAATTTACATCTTTCAGTCACTGAAAATCACACCTCAGGAGCGGCTTAAGAAGAAAATGCAGGCTCTGTTGAATAGACAATGTGAGTTGATGCTCAAAAAGAGTAACGTATCAGCAACGTATCGTAAAAGCAAACAAACAAACTTAAGATATATCTTTTTTAGATAAAGCTGATAAGAAAGCTGAGCAATTAAGAATTGAAAAAATGGAGCAACAGAGACAAGATCGGGAGGATGAGATTCGAGAAATGTCTTTGAAACTGCGCAGAAAGTAAATAATTTTTACATCTTGTGATATAGAACATTATTTACATCGATATAAATAATAACGTGAATTCTTTTGTTTTTCAGACAGAGAGAGCGAAGGCATCGTTACGAAGGCCACAGTTCGGACACGCGTTCTTCTGTATCTCGCACACCAAGCCCGAGTCGTAGCCCGAGACATCATGTCGTGCGTCGCGAGAGGCGAGATTTGGACGGCGATCGCGAACGAGATAGAGAAAGAGATCGACGCGACGATCGCGACCGGAGTAGAACGGAATCGCGTAGAAAATACAGAGACTCACCGCTTCGCTCATTAAGTCCAAGGAGCAGTCGGTAAAGCCTTAGATTCTTGCCTCTAAAATCGAATTGCATCGACAATTTGACCTTATTAACATTGCATTGGCGATTATTGCTGTCGAGTTTGAATAACATAAAGAGAAAATTGATTGATCACAAAATCAATACCTGCTTAATGTCTGTGCAACTGGATCTAAGTATAATTAAATAAATATGTTTACTAATTGTGCTATTTTTTATTTCAGAGGCCTAGTCGACTATTGACTTCAGGACGCATGTTTAATCTTCCATCCAAATAATTTGAAACAGACATTTTGGATACTTCCTGTTCAACTGCATTCCTTCCTTAAAATGTTGTTGACGTCTTTTGAAGTCACATATTAAAAGAAAAATACATAAAACCACAAGATTAACTGTTTCTAAAATGCGTCACAAATTAGCGTGATCTTAATCCGCTTTATAATATATCAAACAAATAGAAGTACTTGTATAAGCGCAATATTTCTCCAGCACGAATGTATTCGCGATGCATGTATAAGAATTAGCATAATTAATATTATTGCGAGAATGTTTATAACTTTTATTTCACGCAAAGAAAGAGTACGCTCTTCTTGTATCGAAAATATGTTACTGTTGTATTTTAGAATTGAGTACACTTCGCTAATAAATATATTGTTGATTAGATAATTATTCAATAATAAAGATGCTCATTGCCTAACAGGGGAAAACTGAATCATTTTTTAAATATTTATATCTACTGCTCGTTAACAAGAATAAAATAGAAGTTTCCAAGCAAATGTTAAGAAAATCTGTGAAAACTTGTTTTTAAAGATAAATATGTGTCTATAATTAATATAAATTTTATTCAGTTCAAAAAATCTGAGAAAGCATCTGCTGCTGATATATTTACTATTAAAGGAATATATTTTTTTGATGCAATTCGGTTAAATATTTCATAGTATTTCTTTTTACTATCATCCGAATTAATAAATTATTAAATGTTTATGTTTTTATTCCACAATTGTAATATTTAGCATAACTTTGTATTTATATAAAATTTGTCAAAAAGAGAGAGAGTAAAAGGTGGTGTTTATATTTATGTGAACTAAAATTCTTATATAATGTAAAGTTATCTCAATCTCAAAGTCTAGTTATTATCTTAGGTATATATGTTACTACTATTCTGTTTTCAGAACTGATATCTCATGGTATATAATGGATATCTTGAGTCAGTGGTTAGTTATTGAAAAGTTAAAAACAGGTGACATGGCACCTATAAAATTTGCAATTTTAACTGGTATGTACAATTGATATATGTATTTTTTAATCGAATATATAATATGTTTATAGAAAAGTATGCATTTGAATTAAGAATCAAAGTAAAACGATTTAGTTGTATATACATTTGGAGGTTAAATATGTTACCTTGGTCAGTATTTTTAATGATTAATAATCTTGTGTAATATAAACTAATAGAATCAATTTTTATGTTTCATGATCCTAAAAGTCACCTAAAGTTATATGAAACAATTATTTTTGTAAATATTGTAGCAAATAAATTATTATCTAATTAATATGTAATATCTAAGCTTGATTTTTATATCTCAAGTTGTAATAATTCTGTTATTTTTTTAGTTAGTGATACTTGTGCGAAGAATGAGAAAACAGATGAAAGTGGTGCTGCATTAAAACAGCTGATCAACGATATATATAATACAAAAGATAATCGTCAAGGAAAAGTAGTTTGCTTTGAAACTGTATCAGATGAAGTATCCTTAATAACAAAAATTTTAACTGATTGGAGCGACAAAAAGATAGCCAATGTTATTTTAACTACTGGTGGCACTGGATTTTCTAACAGAGATGTTACGCCTGAAGCGACCAAAAGTGTTATTCATAAAGAAGCTCCTGGATTATCTGTAGCGATGCTTATGTCAAGTTTAAAAATAACACCAATGGCTATGCTCTCTCGGTAAAATTACTTTTATTTGCTCTGTAGTCTTTAACATAACAATATTTATATAATTAATTTGTTTTTAGAGCTGTATGTGGGATACGAAATCAGACATTGATCATCAATTTGCCTGGTTCGCCCAAAGCTGCAAAGGAATGTTTCAGTGCAATTGCAGAAACTATACCACATGCTATAGATTTACTTTTAGACAATAAAGAAGAAATCAAGGATACACATAACATTGTGCAACATGATATTTCCACTTGTTCGCATAATAAATTTTACATAAACACCGTAAGATACCATTTTTATTAGAAACAAAGAAAAAGAATGAAGATTCTATGAAATTGCATATACAATTAATTTGTTTCAAATAAATTTCAAGAATGCAGCAACACGTCTTAGGGAATCTCTGTTTCCTATGGTTTCTGTGGAAGAAGCAGTAGATGAAATAGTTAGAAGTGCAAGAGAAGAAAATAAAACTGAGGTTGAAGTGATTGATGCAAATAATGCCTATGGTAGAATGTTATATGACGAAGTATATTCCAACTGTCATCTGCCACCGTTTAGAGCTTCCATTAAAGATGGATATGCAGTATTAGCAAGTGATGGAAAGGGTAAAAGAAAGGTGTTATGTGGTGTGAAAGCGGGGGCTTCAGTAAGTTAGAATAATAGGTGTTATGCACCAATGATGCGAAGAGTTGAAGCTATAAAAGAAAATTTTTTTCAGGACATTCCGGTTGTTCTTGTTCCTGGAACTTGTGTACGTGTAAACACTGGAGCGCCTATTCCCGATGGTAAACAAGTTTTATATAATCAAAATGCATAGATTTTTGTATAGTAAAAATTCATCGCTATTTTTCTGCAATTGTAGAAGCAACAGCGGTTGTACAAGTTGAGGATACAAAACTTGTGTCAAAGACCTCTGATGGCATAGAAGAAGATGAGATCGAGATAATGATCGAACCGAAAGAAGGACAAGATATTAGGTAAGTCCAATATTTTTTTATATACTTCTGGAGAAACAAGTTTTTTATAGTATTGAATCATTTCTTTTTTGTCTGTTGAAGATCTATTGGTAGCGACATAGAGAAGGGAAGCTTGGTTTTAGAAACAGGTACCTATATCGGTGTGGCAGAGATGGGACTGCTTGCAGCTTGTGGCAACTATAAAATTAGTGTTCAGAAACGTCCGTCTATAGGTATATTATCCACTGGGGATGAATTACAAGAAACTGGAATGCCTTTGGAACCAGGACACGTTTACGACAGCAATAAAATAACTTTGATATCGTTATTAAAAGAGAATAATTACGATGCTCTGGATTTTGGAATTGCAGTGGATGAGTATGTGTATCAAAATTTAAGGTTGCAAATTCATGGTTGCAAATGATTAATATATATAATTATTACGAATTATAACTTTGCAGTGAAATTATTATGGTAGATAGAATCAAGACAGCTATAGAAAAAGTGGATATACTTGTGACAACAGGATCTGTATCAATGGGCGATAGAGATTTGTTGAAGCCTATTTTAGAGAAACATTTTGAAGCCACTATACATTTCGGTATCTTTCTTTTATCATCAATCAATATCAATATGTTGGCCCATGTTTTTTTTAAATATTAAAGATATATATCCTCAGGTCGTGTAAATATGAAACCGGGGAAGCCAACGACTTTTGCAACATGCTTGTACAAAAATAAGAAAAAGTATTTCTTATGTTTACCGGGAAATCCAGTATCTGCTTTCGTTACCGCACATTTATTTGTTTTACCTCTTTTGAGATACTTGCAGTTCGACATCAGTGAGTCCATAGTAGTGGTAGCTAAGGTTTGTAGGATTAATTTTACATTTTGCGAAATATAAATGCATGATTCGTATAATATTGTTATAATATTGTAGATGTCGTCATATTACGCGTTGGATGAACGTCCTGAATATGTAAGGGCGACTTTGAAATGGGAGATATTTGACCATTATCCAATAGCTTATATCACAGGAAATCAAATCAGTAGCAAATTGCTGAACTGCAAAAGAGCTAATGCACTCTTAAAACTACCAAAACGAACAAAGAGTCAACTGGCGTTGCAAGAAGGTGACTTTGTACCAGCAATACTTATTAGTAAGATGACATATAAATAAAATTATTGACATATTAAACAAATTTCGTAGATAGTACATTTGATTTTCAAATTTATCTTTTAAATTTTAATTAGCAACTTATTTTTTAGATACTTTTATAATAATTCTATTTTCTAAAATATAATTTCTTCCAAGCAAATGTCTATCATTATTCGTTTTATTGTGTACTTTAAATTATTAAATTTTTTAAACAGTCAGTTCAGAAAAAGTCATGAGGTAATAACATAAAATAATATTTCTCTATCCCCCCCTTCCTCTCCTCTATTTATCCTCTTTCTCAATATATTAAAATTTGTATTTTTTGCATACCTGAATTTTGAATTAATAAATTAATCATTGCGATGTTGCAAATTCAATTTATAATTGAGAAAGTTGCAAGAAAACTAATTGTAACCAATTTTGTATTAAGTTTATGCTTATTTGCAAATTATTTGTGACAATTAAATTGAAAATATGTCTATGTAAAAATACATTTTATATTTCTGATAGTCGCGTTTTATATTACGGATAAATTATCTGGCAAGCGCACACACACACATGCACACACACATGTAACTTGTAAGGATTCTTTTAAACATATTAAATAATTATTTCAATTTTCGCGAGCATAAATATTATTTACAATAAATAAATTTTCTAAATATAATTACACATATGTATACATACGTTCTAAGATCACTGCAAGCTGTACTAAAAAAGGATTAATGTGCACACAAATTCCTCTTAAAGAGATTATCCAATTCCAAGAATGATGCCGGTAATTACGGTGAAGTAATAAAATGGTACTTCATAGGGGTTTCACTACCACTAAAGTCTCTTAATAATAATTGCCAGATTCCAATTAAATTCTCCCGCTATCGTCTGTTTCATTAAGGTATATTCAGACAAATTCGCATAAATGCATATGCATAAGGAAATGGATTGGTTCATGAGAAGATGCTTAAGGAAATGGACCAATCCAATTCCTTATGCATATGCCTATGATACGCAATTTTGTCTAGATGCACCCTTAACATTGAGGGAGCTCGCGCGCGGCAGTTGAAATTATTCAGAAATCCAAAAATCTCCAAGAAGCATAATAGGTAATTTCGCGGACGGGGGACGCGGGCGGCGGCACTGAGCGGCGGTAACATATGGTACTTTTTACGGAGTATTACTCGGGAAACTTCCGTATATCCTCCATTGTGCGCCGTTTATTAAGGATCGATCGCGGACACATTTAAAGCGGACAACAGCGTACGCGTGAGAAATGTCGATGTAACGCCTTATCTTCAAGGTACATTTCCTACTCTTTCATTTCCGTTCGTGTATCGTATTTATTTCGCAAAATTTACATTTTCCCAACAACAAAACGTCGAAATCTTGTAAAACTCTATTTTATCGAATATGAGCGATGCGGAAGCACCTGCTGATTTATTTATGTAAGGGGCTATAAATAACGCACATTAGAAATCACGGAGGAATAGCATGCGCATAATGTTACAGGCATAAATCACAATGCGGGATATTAATCGTGCAAGTGCATTCGCGCTTTACTAATGTTGATATCAGGCTGGCCACATTGCGGTTGGCTTATTACGAGACGTTAGGCATGAGATGGGCTTGTACGAGATTACGTTAAATAAACACACGGTCTATATACCGTATACAATTGGCTATAGTTAGCGGTATAACTCCGCATTATAGTACATTTTCGTGTGTGCGCAAATCATATCTGTCATTTGAGAGACATTCGAAAACGACTATCCCGATGTTTTACGCAGGATCCTCAGCGCAAAGCTCTGCTCTGTTTCCACCATTTGCGCTATTTATCGAAATCGAATTTAAATCGAGTTAAAATCGATTTCGATAAATATCTAGTGTTGAGAATATCGAGAGGTGGTGTGAGTTGCGGCGATATGGAGTTGTTTACATCGTCGCTTATTATCCCGAGGGCCTTATATTTCCCCACTTTCTTACACATTGGCGCGCACATTCCACGCATTCCTTCTAAATCTCTGCAACGTAGTTTAGGCTTATTCTTGTTTTTCGCACGGCGGTACTCAGAGCGGATTGGGGCATATCGCCACGTTATTCTCATTATCCCAACTACTCTTCCATATTACATCTTTATTATTCCTTAGTTATAATTGTCTTTTGAAGTCACTATCTCAAAGAGATAAAATTATTTTTTTTAAATATCCTTCCGCCATTTTTTACAGAATGGTCTGATATATCCGTGCGATGATATCCGAGTATTATCTTCGTTCTCATATGATGAAATACGTGTCGGGAGTGCCGTATAAAATATCGCGCGATAATAATCACTTGTGTTTTCGCGAGTGAATCGCATTCCTACGGAACTGACAATGAGAGCAAGAGCAGGCTCAGGACGAGCATCGGGCATCGTCGAAGCAGTTTTGAGGTATTCATCGTTTTATTTATTATCTATTAATTGCAAAATATAATATAGTATAATTACATAAAATATTTGAAATTTTTAGTAAAACTTTTACAATATTTAATATTTATGATTATTAAATAATTTTATATATTTATTATTATTTCAAACAATTAAATTTTTGATTATTCTTTCATTAACTATTTGCTTAAAAGACAAATAAAAAGTTCTATTTGTACAATTTTTTTTTATATTAATTAATTTAAAAGCTGGTATAATTTGAATGTTTTTTTGTATTTTACAGATTATAGAACAGTATAACAACCGCTGCTGCACATCGTGATCGATAAGTGAATCTGATCTTATTTTAATATTTTTATATTAAGTTAATCTAAAATGAACACTCTCAATTAACACACATTGTAGAACGTACATTGCTTTTAATATTCATTGTAAAAATTTTATTATTTTTTTATTAATTGCATAGAAATGTTTTATTTATAAAGTATTTTATATAATTTTGTTTAATTATATTAGTTTCACTTTAAAAGTATTTATAACTAATTTTGTTTTGCAATTTGTTAAAAAATATGATTTGCAGAGTATGAAAGTCTGTATGTAAGAATATTTCACGAAGGAACATTTGTTGCTTTTTCACATTTATTTTTAATCAATTTGAGAATAAAAAAAATTTCTTTACGTTTTTTATTGCTCTCATAAATATAAATTCAATAAAATATTATTAACTTTAACACGTAGAAAGCTGATCATACATAAAGTAAATCATACAATATGATATTATAAGTAGAAATAAAAGTTACATTATTTTTCATAGATCCATTATCTTAAAATGCGTAGGCTAGGACTTAGATTAGTTGACCAATATTTAACCCTGAAATATTACGCACACTACGATGCATATATTTTATATATTAATTTATGATAATCAGTTGTTTTTTTTGCATTTTAACGATCGCGATGTTATTCGGTGATTTTAGTTTTACAATTCTGTCTTCGAACGTGATTTCCGCGGAAACGGTGAGAAATACTAACTTCTTTCCGGTCTCATTCGATTTTCAAGACCTAAGTTTGCCTATCTATCGCGATTCTGTTTCTTATTATTTTTATATATTTTTTTATGATGAGGAAAAAAGTAAAAAGTAAAATGTGTACCATTGTGGAAAAAATTTGAGAAAAGAATAAGAAATAAAACATATTAATATATACATATAATATATATATATATATATATATATATAT